GAATCACATTTTTCCATTAAAAACCCGATAGGGAACATAATAAGTTATAAACATAAAAGTGGGGAATGTGAAAAGTCAAAATTATGCAGTAAAATCGTCCGCCTAATTGAAAATTTTATTGCCCATCGGATCGGTCGTAAAGCTGAAAAACGACTCCGAGGTTTGTTATCAGTTTTATCGACTGTTTTACTTAAAAAAATATTCGGATCTTTCGATGAAGGCTTTTTTGTGTCACAATAAAATCATGAATTAATTGATTGGCCAACAAAAAAATACAATGATATAAGTCTATATAAGGCTTATACGGCGAGTAGTTAATATTGTTACGGATTCCGTGGGTCCACTATTTAAACTCACGATAAAATACTTAACGAATTTATTTGTTTCACTCTGTACACACAACTTATACTATTTACAACACAACTTATGCAACTAGTATTACTCTAACGGTATTTCGCGGTATTATTCAAACTTCTGACTATCTTCAGACTTCAAACTTCAAAACTTGTCCAACTGTCAAAGCGCGGGCCTTATATACCCCCTGGCGGTTGTTTCTAGATTTTTCTAAAGAATTCTATAATTTTCTTTACTTTCTGGCGAATGCGCCAGGTTCCTCAATGCACTTTGCGATTTTAGCAGTATGCAGTTATGCAACCAGTAATACACCTTGACATTGCCCCCTTCTCAAATTTGATCGTCCCGATCAAGGTTTCCTGTCTGGTATCTCTTCAATCGATCCAGATGAACTACTTTCATCTTACTTCTAGGGCTGCGTTGAATCCGGTACACAACATCATTTATCTTCTTGATGACTGTATAAGGACCTTCCCATGCTGGAGTTAATTTTGGGGACCTTCCTTTCTTGCGCTGTGGGTTATACAACCATACTCTATCGTCCTGTTGAAATCCCGTAGAATTAGCTCTGAGGTCGTAACGAGCTTTCATCCGGTCACTGGCTAGCGTAATCTTACTTCTCACGGCCTTATGAATTCCCAATAACCTTTCCTTCAGTTCATCCGCGTAGTCCTCTACGTTCGTGGTGCTGTCGTCTGGTGATCCGAACACCAAGTCACAAGGCAACCGTAATTCTCGACCAAATAAAATCTTCGATGGTGAAAGTCCGGTGGTGTTGTGAACTGCACTTCTATATGCCATTAGGAATAGTGGTATATGCTGATCCCAATCTCTTTGATGTTCATTCACCATTTTGCATAAATTTTACATTGTCGACACCATTTCTTGACATCTTCGCAATAATCCACCCAGTAAAAGCGATCTCTCAGCTTGCTCAAGGTCTTGTTTACCCCAAGATGGGCTCCAGTTTTACCACCGTGAATTTCTTCCAATACCTGGGTAACTTTCTTCCTTGGTACCAGTAACTGAGTTGTTACTGTGCTGCCATCCGCACTTTCCCATGTGCGCTTTAACAATCCATTCTCAATGAAATTCACTGGTTAGTGAATTTCACTGAGCCCAGAGAGCTTTGAAAACGAGCCCTCTGTCCGCAATATCCTGCCACGGTGGTCTCTCTCTCCGTTACCTTCCTTGAGCCGTAGTATTGCCCCGATGTCTGGATCTTCCATTTGATCTTTCCTCAATTGTATCGTCGTCCATTGTTCGTCAGTTCTCAGTTTAAAATTCTTTACTCTGATAGTGCTTTCGCGATGTTGCATTTTCTTGCCCAAGGTAGCTCGTCGTCGATCCGGTTCGTTGTCGATAATTTGTACCCGTCCTACACGGCACCCAGCGATTTTCTCCACTTTACCGAATACGATCTTCTCGGTATTACCAGGTATCACCACAGTTTCCGCTGATCTTACATCCATTCTTCCTGGTCCCTCGTCTGGAGATAACATAAACTCTTCATTTCCGATATTCAGGATATTTCTCTGGTGATCGAACGAAAATCCATGTTGACGAATCACATCCATGCCCAAGATGAAGTCATCTTCAATATCTGCCACTAAGACGCTATGCTGAAACTTCAAATTTCCTAACTTCAGTTCGACGATAGCCTTTCCCCGTGCAACGGCCATTTCCCCCGTAACTGTACGTAAACACACTCTTCTTCCCAGAGACATCAGCTTCAATCCTTGCACTGAGTTAGCCCGCACCAACGATACCATAGCGCCAGTATCCACAGTCATTCGAATTCCCTTTCCATTGACTTTCCCGTCGATCACCAAGCTGTCAGCGGTTGTTCCTAGACTCCTAATGGAAAAAATCCTGGGGGCTCTGTTCTCCCCAGTCAATACTCGCCCCTTAGTATTGACTGATTTTAGTTTTCCTGGTGCCTACGTTCTCTGGATGCTGAACGGGATCGCATGAACGCGGCAATCCCGTTTGATGTGGCCATTCCTGCCACATCTATAGCACCTTATGTCCTGGGATCTTCTCTGGTTCTCTGTCTGGTTATTGTTGATTCCCTTGTTTATTAGTAGCTCACATAGTTTGTCGAATTTTCTACACATCTCCTCCAAACATCTGTGGGTACTCTCGGGCTGTTCCTCTACCGTTACCGATCTTATCTTCGGTCTAGGGATGGCGCTAAAAGCAGCTTCGATTTCCAGCGCCCTGACCAGTGCTTCGCTGCTGGTAGAAAATCGGGATATTTGCAGCGCCCTCTGTAATTCGTTGTCCCTCAGTCCGCTGTTAAAGCACTGAGCAGCCAGTTCTTCCCTAAATCCTTCCGGTGCTTCTGGATACGCTAGGTGTACCAGGCGACGTAAGTCTGCTTCGAATTCCTGCAGACTCTCTCCGGACCTCTGCAGGCGTGTCTTGATCTGTGCCTGGTAAAGTTGGCGTCGATGTTGGTCGCCATATCTTCTGTCCAGTGCAGCGACCAAAGTTTGGTATTCCTGCTGTTGGGCTGCAGGAATAGTTTGCAGGGAGTTCAGGGCAGGGCCACGCAGCGCGATGACAAGTGCCGCTGCTTTCTCCTGGTCAGTCCATCCATTGGCAGCAGCCGCTGCTTCAAACTGGCGGTGGTACATCGTCCATGTCGTTTGTCCATCGTAGGTCGGGGCCTTAAGGTTCGCAGTTCCCGGAATGCCAGGTGTCCTTACTTGTACCTTGGTCTTCTGTAGGTCCATCTCCAACTTTTCTATCTTCTGCTGAAGGCGCTCCTCCAGATCTTCTACGGCTTCTTGGAAAGTGGTTCTGTTGTTCCTGGCAACGCTTCCAACATTGCTTGTTGCTGTTCCCCAAGCTTTTCTGAAGTCGAATTTTTGATTTTCTAAAGTTTTCTTAAGACGGTCCTGATCTTCTTGTCTTTCTTTCTGGCGGCGCGTTTTCTATATCTTCTAAAAATTTCCATCCATTCATTCTTCTGTGAATTTCTAATTTGCCTAAAATTTTCTCAAGCCGGTCCTGTTCTTCTTCTTTGTCTTGTTGTCGTTGAATTTTCAAATCTTGGAAAATTTTTTTTCAAGCCGGTCCTGTTCTTCCTGTTTCTCTTTCTTTTGACGGGCTTCTAAACCTTCTAACATTTTCTCTTGATTTTCCATAAGTATTTTCTGTAGATGGTCTTGTTCCTCTTCTTTCTCTTTTCGCAACCTCTCTTGTTCTTTGCCTGCCTCTTCTCATATTCTCCATAAAATCGCCCAATAATTTGCTTACTTCCTCCATTTTCTTCGCCTGCTCCGCACTTGTACCAACCATAAAAATACTCTAATTCGGTTTAAAAATCTTCTAATCCACTTAATTTCTTCTTAAAATCCTCTTGAATCCCACTTCTGACACCAATTGTTACGGATTCCGTGGGTCCACTATTTAAACTCACGATAAAATACTTAACGAATTTATTTGTTTCACTCTGTACACACAACTTGTACTATTTACAACACAACTTATGCAACTAGTATTACTCTAACGGTATTTCGCGGTATTATTCAAACTTCTGACTATTTTCAGACTTCAAACTTCAAAACTTGTCCAACTGTCAAAGCGCGGGCCTTATATACCCCCTGGCGGTTGTTTCTAGATTTTTCTAAAGAATTCTATAATTTTCTTTACTTTCTGGCGAATGCGCCAGGTTCCTCAATGCACTTTGCGATTTTAGCAGTATGCAGTTATGCAACCAGTAATACACCTTGACAATATAAATTCGGTTACCCGAACAATGAATTTAAGTGTCCATTTCACTAGTCCGAAAAAGTAACATAATAAGCGTTCGGTATTTAACGTTTTATGTAAAACTGGCTAGGTATTTTTTCACAAATGAAGAAGGAAATTAAAGATAAAGGATTATGCTATATCCGTGTTGTAGCACATCACAAACATCAACAAAATATTCCTTATGTTTGCACTAAATTTTCTCGAAAATAAAGACATATTTTTAAATTCCGTTACAATACGAAAATATGTAGATTAAAGTTTTGTTATTACAGTGATATATGTATAATTTATATGGTTTTGTAACGACAGTATATGTATATGTAATTAATAAATAATGGGATAGTATATGTAATTTTAGCTGATGGTAAAGAGTAATAAAAGCTTAAAAAGTCAGTAAAAACCGCATCTTAATATCTTCTTTCAAACCGAAGATATTAGCAAAATTATAATACAGTAAAACCCCGGTTATCCGAGGTAAAGTGGGTTACACCCTCCTCGGATAACTGAAAACTCGGATAATCTGGATTTATTAAAAAATAAGCACCAATACATATTTTAAACGGTTTATTAACATTTTTAACATGTAAATACAAAGTACCTACATATGTAGATACTATTTACATTATAAAACAGTGAAATAAGTATGTATGAGCTGCTGTTTCATATTGCATCTTCTTTTTCTCGCTGCCATATTTCTCCACCTGTTAAGAAGAAGCAAATCCGCTGGGGTTGCCTCTGGTTGTTGTTCGATATACCTCAGAGCTGTTTCCAGAGAAACAAAACCTTCTTGATGGTTAATCTTAGGGGAAGGCTATTCATCCACCTCTTCGTCATAGTTATCGTCATCTGATTTTTCGGTTTCCCGAAAGGCGTTCGCTATTTCTTCAATATTCACTTCTTCTAATATTCATTTCTTCAGATGCATTGGAACATGCCATTATGGTTAATCTTTCCTTACTTCTTTTGTTCCCAGGAGCTGATTTTTCCTGTCCAGATGCCAATGTTTTTGATGGAAGCATTTTATAATTCAAACCACTTTCGTCACAGTTATAAATTGGATCACATGTATACCCACAATCTGTGATTAGCATTTTAAAGTCCTGTTTAAATTTTTCAATTGATGACACATCAGCAGAAAGTTTTTCTCCACATATGGTCAGTTGTCGTACACCGTCCCGTTTTTTCCAGCGGCCAAGCCATCCAGAACTGCCGGTAAACCTATCTGTCTCTGGAAATTGCTTACTAATCATTATTGCTTTCTGCTGCAAAATGGGACCTGACAGAGGCACACCTTTTGATCTTTGCTGAGTAAACCACGTGAATAAAGCTTCGTTAACTTTTTCATAGACGCCTTTTTTTATTGATTTTCTTCTTGAAGACGAAGAGGCTTGTTTTATACACCATTCTTCTACTTTAGTGCGGTTTCTGTTCCCATCCCCAACTGTTACCTCACCTACTCCATAATCTCGTTCAACAATCTTAATTGTCTCTCCTGCTTGAATTCTCCTAATGGCTTTTAATTTTTCTTCAATAGGAACGACAATTTTTTTACGTTTGTTTCGTTCCATTATTATACGGCAATCGAAAATTTAAAGAAAGCAGTTGGTATACACTGAACAACTAAACTAGAACTCCACCCAGTATACTACTTCTCCGTAGTGAACGCAATAACGAACTGCATTCACTCAAATTTACATGCTAAAAGAGTCCAAAAAAGGGGAACTACTCACGCGGGCTAAGGGGATTCCCTGTCGGTCCCAACGATTTTAAACGGAAATATATGTAAATATACATATACTATATTTTAGAAGCTCGGTTAATACGGACCATAGATGCGCGACCTCGGATAATCAGGGTCTTTAGACTGGATCGGTTAATCCGGAGCTCGGATAATTGCGACTCGGATAATTGGGGTTCTACTGTAAATACGAAAATATAAGCCTTTAATTACCTTATTTTTCTAACATCAGTAGCCCTCTTGATTATGCCCATTCTAATAAAAAAATAAGATATAGAAACGATTAGATTATTTAAAATCGACAATATACCAGAATACCATAATACCAGATATATTAATATCTAATAATTAAAGTGTTAATAACAATGAACAAGGCACGATGTCTCAGTGAAGTCATGGTGGGCTTTGGAAAAAAGTTGCGTTTAACGTAATAGTATAAACGTGAAATTGTTATTAGATCAACATTTTGATAGTCTCAGCAGCGTTTTTTATCTTTTGATTGCTTTCCTATAAATGCCTTTCTTCAAAAGAGAAAAAACGCTGCTAAGATTATCAAAATGTTGATCTAATAACAATTTGACGTTTATACTATTACATCAAAAGCAACTTTTTTCCAAAGCTTACCGTGACTTCACTGATGCATCGTTTCTTATTCACCGTTACTAACACCTTAATTATTAGATATTAATATATCTGGTATTATGGTATTCTGGTATATTGTCGATTTTAAATAATCTAATCGTTTCTATCTTATTTTTTATTAGAATAGACATAATCAAGAGGGCTACTGATACCGTGTTAGAAAAATAAGGTAATTAAGGGATTATTTTTTCGTATTTATTATAATTTTGCTAATATCTTCGGTTTAAAAGAAGATATCAGGATGCGGTTTTCACTGACTATTTAAGCTTTCATTACTCTTTACTATCAGCTAAAATTACATATACCATCGCATTTAATTTTTTCGAAAAAAAAGCACAATGTTAAATTTCAAGACAGCGCCTCCTATCGGCTACGTTCAAAAGCATATTATTATTATTTTTATGGTATAATATAGAGTAAGGAACGCTCTTTTAAACGAGCCCTCGTTTGTTGAATTCTGATCCTCTAGTCCGGAGTTATTAACATTTAAATAAAAACAGATCTAACCTTCCCCCACCACTTTATTTTGGCAGATAGGGGGAAATGGTTTTAACAAAAATTATTCAAAATTTTCTAGAGATTATGAAGCTATTATTTATAGTACCCGTTATCTAGGTAAAATTGAACGAAAACTTATTTTTCTTATTTTTTATAGCAGTTGTGCCCTCTAGCGGCCGTTCTACAAACTTGAAAATAATTTCTAGCAATTTCTCATAGCCTCTTTAGTTATAAGTACTTTTTTCCGCATGCCGTACGACTAATACTTTCCGAGATACAGCCGAGAGCTGTTCTTAGTGGGCCACCCTGTACCGCGTAATAGACTGCCAAAAATATTTAGTATTTTGTATATGTAGTCGTTTTAGTCCATTTACACTCAGATGCAAAAAACTCAACGGAAATTTTTTTCGTGAATTATTTATATTTTTATCCCTATTTTCATGATTTTTTTAGCAAAATATATATAAATCTATCAACTTTAATTCATGAACTCAGTTTTTTATAAACTTTAGTATTTGGCTGATTTTAATTAAAGTTAATTGAAGGGTTGTTTTTTACCTTAAATTTAAAACACCCTGTGCAATAATTTCGTGAGTAACTTTTCCTAAAACATTATTTTTCGATCAGAACAATATGTTTTGTGAGCATTTTCTTCTTGATTCATGTCAACACATGCCTTGGTTAATTTTTAAGAGCGAAATGAACTTGCCACCAACAATTTGCAATTTTTTTTAACTGTCATTACTTTATGATGTTATTTTTTAATATAACGGTGTGGCTTTGGTGACTATTTTCGTAATGCCATATCGAACTGCATTAGAACTGCGATACAATTAATTTAAATAAATATTTAATTAGGTATATTTAATTAAGCATAATTTTAATAAATATTAGTGACACACTAACAGAACTAATCAGTAACTCACGCATTTTAAGTGAGTTAAGAGCTTTTTAACTCAAGCATTTTCATTACCGCACTCATTGTTTAGATGACTACCAAAGAGAAAAAAAATATTTTGTAAAACATTTATTTTGTACTAAATACCTACTAATTACAAAGTATCTGTTCTATTGATAATAATATAAAAACATTCATGAAAACTTATTTATTATAAATGTTAATGATACAGTTTGAACAATCTTTCAAGTATAGTGTGACCAACGGATCTGTAGCTACGGGGTATCGGCAGGGGAACGCAGTTGTAAACAAGACACGCCCAATTTCATTCATAAAATAGGCATGGGCGTACGGTGTTTTATGAAAATAATGTGTATCAAATATCAATTCTGATTAATATTTTTTTTCAAAAAACTTTATCCTGTTTGAATCGTTACTGTTGAGTTAGCAGATAAACACACTAAAAGCTTTTAATAAAGCTCCCTTAAATATTTTGAATAATTTTATTATTATGTCTTATTGTTAATATAATAGAAGAAATAATTACAGCTGGGGGTTGGAACCTTTGGTGTTACACAGCAAAATAAAACACTAAATCAGCACAATACACGAAAACACTTTTACTTTTACACTGGGCGTACGTTTCGCTAACCATGTTAACATCATCAGCAGATGATCAAGACTGAGTCTTGAGGTATATTTATTTATATATCTGTACTAACTATATTTTTTTCTACAATACATAATTTTAGATATAACTATTTCCAGCAAAAAAAATCTTGAAAATAGTTAACTTTGGAAGCGCAAATAAAACATAATTTTACTCACCAGTAGATCCAATATTGCCTATTACACCAGATATGGTACCGCCCCGTCAGCATTTTTTAAAGGTTAGGTCATTGTCTACCCATGTTTCATCCAAATAGATAATACTTGGCGATATTTTCGAATTTCGCGTATATATTTATATCTCTCGCTGCAATATAATGAGCCGCTCCATTAATATTTATCTGTTATTTTAACATTTACGCCAAAAAAATCCATTTGATTTTAATGACCCCCTAAGCGTTTCCCTGCCAAAGGAAAATTCGATTCATCCTGCAATTTTTGCAAAAGCTTTCTAATTGTGGGGACGACTTTGAATTCGAGATAAAATCTATTTATCAAATTCCTGACCACTTGGAAATCAAAGTCGTCGAGCTCACGTAGCCGTTTCTTTCCAGGGCTGGATATCATTTTATCGGGGTTAGTTTCCAGTCTTTTTTATCTTCTGTGTGAATATTTTTATTGCCGATACGAACTCCGGTATAAAGAGATATCCGCTCAAGTTTACGTTTAAGCGGCAACTTAAGCGAACTCTCTGTAGCTTCTTCGTCGCAAACCCTGTTATGAACACAAGGAAATAAACCAAATGTTAGTTTAGCTAAAATATGTTAGTTTAGCTAAAATATTTAGGTAAAATGTGGGTGCTTTTCATTTTAGCCAATATTTAATTTTAGTATTCTAATAATTACATTATTATTATTCTACTTACCTATATAAATTAGCTATTATTTCTCTTGTCCTGGCTATGTAGCATCTTACCCTTAACAAATTTATTCATTTTAAAACACAAATATACGATCAAACTTAATATTAATAATTAAAAACTACGAACGAAAAACATTATAACAATATAACAAAACAATAAAACACATTTTAACTATTAAATATACGAAAAATATAGGAATAAAGTTTAGGATAACCGGTATAAAATAATGAGAGAAAGTAATAATGATCAAAACAATGACACCGCCACTGGATATTTCAATAGTATTCAATATTTCTACTCTTTTCAGAAGTAACCGTGAAGTTGGGGATAAGGCTAGCGAATAGGAAAGGCGTAAAAGCCATGGCAACCGCGTGGTAACAAATCCTGTGACGTACTCTCGCCAATCATGTTCGATGAATAGGCGGCCATGCGCGGCGATGCCGGTTTGCCAATGATATCGTTGAAATATCTTCACCTTTCGTAATAAGCAGATTATACAGAATGAAAGAAATAAGTTATTAAATAAAACATATCCAACAATATGAACTACGTTAAAATTGCTTAGTAATATACGACAGAATATATCCTAAACACATTATATATAATAAAAATATATTAAATTTATAGTTCATGTCTGGCAATTTTGCAATTTTATAGATAAACGTGGCAATATCGATTTTTTTTTCTCGCATTCCTTCCGTAGCTTCAGATCCGCTGGTCAAACAGTAAATGCCTGATGAAGCATATACATATATTCATTTTAATAGATATACAGGGTGGTCCGAATTGTATTCCGAAAACTTCGGCAGCATATTCTGCAGATAAAAATAAGTAAAAAAGTTCGTATAAATGTATGTCCTAAAATGCTTAGTTTCGAAGATACAGGGTGTAGAAATTTCATTTTTATTTCGATTTTTTCCAGATAATTTCTGAAGTAACATCAATATTTGGATGAAATTTGGTGTCTGGGAGTTTTTTGACATGAAAAATTTGGGGGGATTTTCATGTCATTATGACTCCTACTGGTAGAGGGAACACTTACATATTTTTAATTGGTTTGAAGAGTAATAACTTTTCGTCCGTACCTGTATAAAACTACTGAGTAACAAAATATACATTTACGACGTTTTTTACGTAAAAAAGGTCTCTACGAGTAATGGTTTTCGAGATATTTGGAATCGAAATTATCAATACCGGTCATCATTGACATAAATTAACATATTGACTAAATAGTTATTAGACTGAAATCATAAATTTGAAA